TTTTTCATCTGTCTGAGGAACTTCACAGGCAGTTCTGTCAGAGTGGCACTGGCTCTGTTTCCAGTATGTCCAGGTTTGGTGACTGCATTCAGTTAAGGAGAGAAGGTGGAGTGTGCTTTCCCCGTCTTACTTGGCATCGGAGCCCTGGTCTTGGTTTTTAAATTTCTGCATTAATAATCTTTCCATTTCGTAACTTCCAAAATGATTTCCTTGAAGAATTGCAGAAATGGCGGTGCCCTGACTATTACGAGAACAACGTCCACAAGATGCAGCTCCCGTTTTCCAGCAAGCTCCTTGGCAGCACTCTGACCTCTGAGGAGAAACAGGAAAGGCGGCAGCAACAGCTGCGGCGACTGCAGGAGCTCAACGCCCGCCGGCGGGAGGAGAAGCTGCAGCTGGATCAGGAGCGCCTGGATAGACTGCTCTATGTGCAGGTAAGAACAGGTGCCGGTGGGCCCTCACCTGCTCCACACAGTGGTCCCAGAACACTTTCTTCCTGTGTTTTCTCCTGCAGCCTTAAGATTGACCACCTCAGTCATCCTTGGGGCCAGGAAGCAGTCTGTGGGGGATTGGCAGTAGAGAGATTTTTAAAGTACAATGTAGTGACAGGTGTTTGTTTTGTTTTATTTTAATTTTTATTGAATTTAGGTGAATGTTTACAGAGCAAATTCATTTTCCATACAGCACTTCATACACATTTTATTTCATGACATTGACTGCAATTTGCCACAGTGTAACAGCTCTCTTTCCACTTCCTCTCCACAGTTACCTCTTCCCTGTATCCTTCTCTCCCATGCACTCCTGCCCTCCAGACTATCTCCCTGTGCAAACACTGCCCTTCTGTTCTCCCACAATTGCTACAATGAGTCTGCCTGATGTAAATGTTTACCCTATATGCCTGTCTATTTGGCTGGAAGCCATAGGAGTGAGTTCAGTTCCAGGCCTGAAGGGTAACGAGGGGCCATAGTCTCACCAGGCTCTATCAAACTAGCAAACCTGTTTTTTTTTTTCTTTTAATGATTTTGAGTTTTGTTCCGCATTGTTCTTCCACTCTATCCAGGATCCTGGCAGGTGTTTTTGAAAGAGCTCTGGACTCTGGCTTTATTGATATGTTTATTTTTGCCCCATAATCTCCTTTATTTTATTTTCTTAACTTTTTAATATATGTAATTATGGCACACATGATGCAAATGGCACGAATCTTTAGTGTTCAAGTCCATGAATTTTCACAAAGTGGATGCAGCCATGTATCTGCCATCCAGAGCAAGAAACAGTGTTGCCAGTAGCCCAGAAGTCTCCCTCATGTCTCCTCTCAGTGAGTAACCCTCACCTGGAAGGTAACGTTTCTGACCATAGATTAGTTTTGCCTATTCAGGTGGTATTGTAACCGTGATGTAATGCTAGCCTAGAGTGGGCTGGAGAGGGCAGCATGCGGCTGTGGGGGAGATAGAGGTGTGCTTTCGTGGAGGGGCAGTAGGTGAGCTCTGGGAGGCCTCTCCTGCTGCGGTTCATCTCTTTGCCTTTTAAGCCATTTCTCTTTCCCTCCTGTATGTGACTGCACTGTTTGTCTTCGAGGGTGACTTGTGACTGCTCTGGTTTCAGGAGCTTCTAGAGGATGGCCAGATGGATCAGTTTCATAAAGCCCTGATAGAGCTGAACATGGACTCCCCAGAGGAGCTGCAGTCCTACATACAAAAGCTCAGTTCAGCAGTGGAGCAAGCGAAGCAGAAAATCCTGCAAGCAGAAGTCAGCCTTGTGGTGGATGTGGTGGACAGCAAGCCAGAGGTAAGAGAGGGCCCTTCCTTGGATCCCACAGGGTCATGTAGAGAGAACAGCTTTTCCTGAGCGATTGGAGAAGGATCTTGAAAAGGCTGACATCACAGGGTTGTGAGCAGACTCGGGGGGGAAAGAGAGCAGTGTGGTAAGTGATATTGCAGGGACATAGGCGGGGACAGCAGTGACACTGACCTTGTACCAGTTGATACTCTGACAGGAGGGAAGTCACCCTCTGATCTTCTGGCCCAACATTTGGGAGGGGGTGTGTGCGTGTGGAGTAGGAGGAGCAGTTACTCACTGGTCAGGTGGTCCTGTCTTGACCCTGAACCTGAACCTGCTCCTCTGAAGGCTCTTTGGCTGTTGCGTGCGTATCCCATTCGCTCTCTTCTGATGTTTTACTAAGTTTGTCGTGGTTGATCTTTTACATACTTCCTTTCCATCTGGAGTTCCCTAGTGGTAGGGAACATGCTTCGTACATAGTTAAAAGTTTACAGCTTGCTGTTAGCTGCTGGGGGAATGAAACATTGCCTGATCCTGTGCCAGCTTCATGGTCATTAGTATGCTCGAGTCCTTGTTGAGGTCACTGTGCATTTTGAATACCTTCTGGCTAGGGGATTCCTCTCCCAGCACTGTGTCATATCAGACAGTATTCTGTTGTGATCTATAAGGTTTTCATTGGCTATTTTTCAATAGTAGATCACCAGGCCTTTCTTCACAGTCTCAGTCTGAAAGCTCCACTGAAACCGGTCCACTGTGGGTAACCCGACTGGTATCTGAAATACCAATGGCATAGTTTCCAGCCTCATAGCAACACACAAGCCACCACAGTGCAACAAACTGACAGATGAGTGTTGGACAACACTTAGTAGATAAGCTTGATAAAATATAAATTGATCTCGGATCAGCCTTTATTAGTTACAAAAGACAAATTTTTTTGATAAGCTCTTTGATTTTCTCTTTCTTCTTCCTTTTTGGTTCCTTGCCAATAGACTGTTAAGGTCAGGCAGTAGGACTGAACTTGGGCCCTGGGTAATCTAAGCTCTGGCCCCTGCATGATGAAGGGGCTGGCTGCAGGTCACATCTCAGCCCCAGATGTCACTGGTTGGCTCTTCTGTTTCTAGAACTGGGCAGAAGCCTTAGTTATGATACACATAGTTCCTGAATTTTGTCATCCATAGACCTAAACCAAAGGGTCTTGTTCATTGCCTTGTGTCACTTTTGGGTCAGGGTTAACCAGTCTAGTTTGTTGGTGTTCTGGTTACCTTGGCGATCATCTGTGCTTTTGGAGGAACAAAAATGCAGAAGAGGCTGGGTCAGTCCCTTCTGCTGCTGGGTGCGTTGTGGAACTTCTCAGTGATTTCCAAGCTGTCTTTGGCTCAGCATGCGGCTCCCTTTTGCAGTGACTTTATCACAGTTGCAGCTCACCCTTGTAGCTTCTGCACAGTCTCAGTCTTCCATCCTCTACCTCTGCTGGGCTGTAGGTGATGTGTGGACAGTGACTGGCCATGAGCATGCATATTTTATAGAGCAGATCCCGAGTCAGGCTCACCAGGTCCAGCTTCCTGGACCCCTCCTGTCTGGTGCGGGAGGCACCTTTGCTACTTCCTTTCTCCCCCACAGCATCTCAGATCAGCTCTGGTTAACTGGTGCCTCTTTTCTAGTCTGCTGCTCTCCACGTTCATGTCTGTATTTCAGATGTGAACTGCTGTTTGCAGAACAGTGTTGCCTTTGTTGTTCATTCATCCACGTTTCACTTTTATCACGTTTAACGTGTTAGTGCCAATAGGAGATCAGCATCTTTATACTAGAGTTGTCCCATGCTCACGGCCAGTCACTGTCTGCACATCACCTGCAGCCCGGCAGATGTAGAGGATGGAAGACTGAGACTGCACAGAAGCTACAAGAGCGAGCCTGCAGTTGTGATAAAGTCACTGCAAATGGGAGCTTCATGCTGAGCCAAAGATAGCTCGGAAATCACTCAGAAGTTCCACAACACCTAGCAGCAGAAGGCACAACTCTGATTCTTCCGCATTTCTGTTCCTTTCCTTTGTACTAGAGATGTTGATGAGCCACACGCTGGAGAGAGATTTCAGATTTGAACAAATAGCTGTGTGGTTGTGATTAGGGAGCCATTGGAAAATTTGTTTTCCTATTTCATGTTTTCTGCATTTGTTACACACTCTGATTCAACTATTCATTCATTCACTGAGCAGATACTTAACTGTCTGCTTTGTTCTAAGCTCTGGGGAATATTCAAAGGCTTTGGAAATGTTGGACTGCGAATGGCTTCTCTATGTAAAATAAAAGTCTCATGAATTGATCTGTCACCAAAGCTCTAATAGTCTGTCAACATTTATTGAGAATGATTTTTAGTGATTAAAGTCAGTTCCAGTAACATTCGTGGAAATGTGACCATAACACTGGCCAGCCACATCTACCTTTCAAAAAGTACAGTGTTTTCTAAAACTAGAATTCACTGGAACAGAGAGATTCAATTTATATAGACTAGAATTCATTAAAAATGTCATTTAAACAGTAATTGCTGAGTTGGATTAATATAGCTAAATTTTTAAACTTATTTATAAATCCAAAGGACCTCTTGTGGCACAGTACCTAAGGCATTTGACTGCTAACTAGAAAGTTGGCAGTTCAAATCCACCAGCTACTCTACAGAACAAAGACTGGGCAATCTGCTTCCATAAAGATTTACTACCTCAGAAACCCAGTGGGGGTCGTTGTGAGTCAGAATTGACTTGATGGTATTGAGTTTGGTTTTGTAAAATCCATTTTTTCCTATAGTTAAATCTCTTCCAGCCCTTGCTATTCTGCAGATATTTCTACTAAGATGTTGTAAAGGAGTAGCCTTTGTTACCATTCCTAGTGAAATATTTAAATATTTAAAACTGGAAGATGCTTGCTTCCCATAACTATGAACATGGGAGAAGTGTGCATTGGAATTGGGGAGGGTCACAGTTTCAGAGCTAAGTATCATTTGTTGGAAAACACATGGGCCAAATATAGAATGTTTCTTTACTTGAGTAACCAAGCCCAGAGTTGGTTTTGCTTGTGGGCCGACTCGACGGCAAACAACAACAACAACAACAACAACAACAACAGTGTCTGTTCTAGGGATCTCCACTGCATCTTCTCTGATGTGCTTTGACAAGCGATTGTCCCAAAAGAACAGTCGTATTTGTGTTTCTGAATGCCACACAATATACGTAGATACTTTGGCAAACCTTAGAGGGAGAGAAGCCAGCTCGGTACGAGAAATCTGTTCCTTGTCGGATGGCAATTCTAAATTATTAGCTTTGTTCTCCTCTGCGAATCATATGAATTGGGATACATAAAAATTGTTTTCATCATTTTTAGTGGAGCTAAGTTGTTAGGAGCTATTGAGTCGATTTCAGGCCACCAGAGGAGCCACTGGATGGGTTCAAACCTCTAACCTTTCTGTTAGTAACTGAGCACTTAATGATTGCCCGCCAGGGCTCAGTGATGTGCTTGTGACCATAACTTGATGAAGGTAGGTGGTATTTTGTTGCAGCTGAAGAAGCTTTTTGAAACCCCATAGAGATTTGAGCGTATATCCCAGAGGCCCACCACTCAGTGCCAGGCATGGTTTGCCAGAGACAGGATGCAGGAGTAATTAAGACACAGTGCCCGTCCTCCTGAGTGCTAGTTCCATACTCAGCTGACTGTAAAAAGTACATCAGGCATAGTGGTCTCTGTGAGTGGCACATAGGTAGATTTTGAAAAGGATTGGGACATTTGAACTGGCCCTAAAAGATTATTTGGATTTCAACAGGTGGCAAGCAAGAAAGAAGAATATTTTTGTTGGTAGGAGCCACATGTACAGGGAGCATGGCATGTTTGGTATACAGAGTGTGGGCAACAGAGGCCATGGTGGGAGATGAAGTGGGGAAGGGAGGCAGAGACCAGGCTCCAGAGGTCTTTATCAGTCAGACTAAGGAGCCTGAATATCAACCTGCAGACAAACAGAGCCTTCAAAGTATATCAAGCAAGGAAATCATAGGGTAAGATTTTATTTTCAGAAAATAACCACTGGCAGTTAGGAGGATGGGCTGTAGGGAGAGATGAGGCTTGAGGTGAGAAGACGGGATAGAAACGTGGTCATTCAGAAGAGAACTGAAATTTGTTAGTAGTCATGGGGGTGGAGGTTAGGCACTCACGAGGTAGGATCTAAAGATCTGGGTGCCGTTCAGAAGGAGAGGTAGCACCAGTGGCAGTGGCTAGTGACAGTAGAGCCCAAACCCTGTGCTGAACACTTCTGCCAGCATTGTCCTGATTCATTCTCACAGCTTTGTGACCAGGTGCTGTCATTCTCATGTTACAAATAAGGAAATGGGAGTGAAGAAAGTTGGGCAAAGTCCCACAGCTACAAGTAGCACAGCTGAGAATCAGACACAGGCAATCCAATTGCACATTCCACTCTTTGAACATTTAAGCTGTCATTAAAGACAGTGGGCGGATGGTGGTGCCTTTGACCAGGGATCAGTTTTGAGCACGTTATCTTTAAAGTCTCTGGGACATCAGGTGGAGCTCTCTAGGCCCCAGCTATTGGAGGACTTAGAATCACATGAGGAGTGAGAAAACAGAATGCCTGGAGAATACCACCAGTTAGTTGGTGAAGGAAGAAGAAAAGCAACACAGGAGACCGAGAAAAAAATAGAGGAGAGAGAAACCAGAAAGGGTTGATGGGAGAGTTTTAAGAGAGTGAGAGGTGAGCTTAACCTAGCATAGAAGATGGTATGCTTTGCCCTTTGAGACAAGGAAGGATAAAAGAACAATAAAAAAAGATGAAATGGAATGGAGAATAAATAGAAGAGTTTGTTCTTTGAAGCAATGAGAGTGATCTGAGAGCCACAGGACTCAGGAATGGAGCTGAGGAGAAGAGTGTTGGAAGAGGTTTCAGGCAACTGCAGTAGGGAATGCAAAAAGCAAGTGGAAGGGTCACAACAGGATTATCTAGTAGCACCCCAGGGCTTCCTGTCCTCTTCCCCACTGGAAGCATAGTCTACTTCTCCTACCCTGTAACTAAGCCATCAAGTAGACTATAACTCATAGTGACCTCACGTGTGTCACAGTAGAACTATGCCCCATAGAGTTTTCAATGGCTATGACCTTTTGGAAATAGATCACTAAGGTGGAGGGACGGTTGTAGTTGTGATTGGACTCCAGGCTGGGTAGAGAAAGGTGTGAATCCACAAAGAACGTCCTCAGTTGGAGGGGAGGGAGGTTAGAGGAGTGGAGGGTTGGGGTGAAGATGAGACAGGTGGGGAGTGGAGGGGCAGATAGGAGGAACCTCAGTGGAGTCTGAGCCTTGCCTTCAGCTGTTACTATTTGGGGAGTCACAAGCTGGGAGTCTTATACATCACCAGCTGCAGACGGCAGGGGAATGCTCCTTAACATGCTCTCCACTGCCCCTGCCGAGGCAGAGGGGCTTGTTCACTGGAGCTGATCTTGCTGCCACGTGTAGGTCTTTCCTCTGTCCCCTGCATTGCCTGCCCTGAACTTGGACTAGATCTTTTCAGATACTCCTCAAGCTCCCACTGCCTATGCTTTCAGACTCACAGTTTATAGAAATGGAGGTAAAACAGAGCAGAGACTTTGTAGCTAAGCAGTTTTGTCTTAGGCAAGTTCTCCCCACTTAGTAGTGTGATGTAACCTTGGGCAAGACACTTGACCTTCCTGTGAATGGTGCAATGGTGATGTCATCTGACCTTCTTGTCTCACTTCCCAAGGGGGGTGGAAAATCATTATCAGTATCAACAGCCCAAGGCTGGGTCCCATGAGGCAAAGGTCATACATACCACCACTCTCTAACCTTTATTTTACCAGTTCTCACACCAGCTGTCCCTCCCATGACACTCTATATTTTTCTAATGGGTTTCATTGCAGTGGCCACCAGAATGCACAGACCATACTAACAATTACGGGATTTATTAGGGAGGTAGCCCGTTACAATTCTGGATCAGGAATAACTCAGGATAGAGCTCTTGGATAGGACAGCTTCTTAGCCATGCTCACAGGTAGGCCTCTCCCTGGCCCTGGACCTCTCAGCTCCTTGGGCCTCTTGGGCTGGCCCAGCCTGGCCTCTGCCCTGCTTGGGCAGATGTTACAAAGCTCTTTAGCTCCACTGATAAGTGCCCAGAGGCACTGTATTCTGCCAGTAAGCCTCCTATCCAAAGGTGCTCAACTCTCGTGGTCTATAGTCGGTGAACCTCACTCCTCCAAGTGCCCAAAGGCACCCCACTCTGCCACTAAGCCTCCTCCTTGAAGGCACTCAGCTTTCTCACTCTGTGGGCCGAGAAGCCCACTGCTCCATCTCCTTCTGGTCTCCTTGTTCTGCTGCCATTGCTTCTCAGCATCTTTCACTGTCTCTGGTGTTACAGTGCTCTTTCTGTCTCCTGGGTCTAGGAGGTTCTCAGCATAAGGACCCTGGATCCAAAGGACATGCTCCACTCCTGGCTTCTCTGCTTGTTGTTAGTGTGGTCCTCCTTTTTGCCTCTGAGATGGTTCATTTTAAGCCTAACTTGACCATCCCCCCTTTAGGGTTTCATACACCTTATTTGCATGGTGCCACCTCCACAAAGGTGTCATGCACCATATTTGCATTATTAACAAGCTGTCTAATCCCCTTGGTGGGCCACAAGCACCTTATTTGCATAGTTGCACGCAGTCATTTGGTGGGAGTTACAAGACCATGGCGAGACAGGCCATGTAAATGTGATACATTGCGCTGCCCTCCCTGAGCCACAGCCTCCTGAGCCGTAAAATGTGGGATAATATCTGCAGTGAGGACCAGGGAGTTAGGGAGGGCGTTGCCAATAGCAGTCATCCCTGCTTCTGAATCTCATTCAGTATCGGCCAAGATGACTTTCACCTCCTTGACTTGGAATGAAATCTTTTTGACTCTTATCCACTGATTTACCCTTCTTTCCTCCTCAAATTACCTTCTTTTACACTGGTCCCTCTCACCTTGTACTCTAGTCTCAGATGAAGAAACAGTCCCCTTTCTTTCCAGGGATTAACTCAAGCCTGGACAATTCCCCGTAGATATGGTAGAATTTATCTATATTGGACAGAAATTAGAATGATACATGCCACATGACTTTTGTAGGGTCAAAGATGGGCATTGAGGGTCATTGCCTCGTTTAAAGATGAGTTTGAAAAAAAGTGAATTTGAATGCTTGTTTACATCTGCAGTGTATAAACAAGTTCTTAAAAAACAAACAAATAAACTCATTGCCATCAAGTTGGACCCAACTCCTAGTGACCCCTCCTTGGATTTCTGAGGTGTTATCACTACAGAAGTAGATTGCCCAGTCTTCCTTCCAAGGAGTGGCTGGTGGGTTTGAACCTCCAGCCTTTTGGTTAGCAGTCAGATGTCTTAGGCACTATGCCACCAGAGCTCCTAACAGGTTCTAGAGAAGTGTATTTAAATGCTCTGAATTACATTGGTAATCTACGTACTTCCTAGATTCCTGGAGTAAGGAGGGACTCTGAGAACGTGTACTCGGTGTAGGCATCTCCTCCAGCTGGCTTGCCTCTTGGTTACTTAGTCTGCTTGAGTCCTCCTAAGGCACCACTTTGTGAGACCGTCTGTTCTGCAGCAGTTGTCATTGTTAGAACATTTCTTCCTTAAGATATATCAGAATATTGCTCCCTGTGACTTCTCCCTTTTGAGTCCAGAAAGGTAAGACTTATCTGCCCATCTATGACAGAATGACAGATGGCTAAAGATGTCATCCAGAACCCTCCTCCCCTGCACAACTTCTTTCGTGCAGATTAAAATGAAAATAATGCCTTTAGCCCTCCATTAGGAATGATGCCAGCATGTCATGGCCCCTCACGGATTCCTCATTACCATCGATGAAGAGAGCCTTAGAGTTTATTAGGTAGGTGGGATGCCACAGACAAGAAGCATTCAGCCTTAGAGCCCTCACATCCCCAGCCCTGTGGGACCTGTTGCTTAAGGGATCTAATTATGGAGCCCATCAGTGTTGGCACATGTTTATTAATTACAAAGGGGTTTCTTTGATTTTGCTGTTACTCTAAGCTGTTTGATAAGACACCAGCTATCAAACCCTTCTCCCCTTGAGTTCTGAGAGGGGTGGGGTGCTAACACAGGCAGCAAGTCTATCACCGGGCCCTGAAACTGGCACTTTCAGAAGGCATTAGAGAGAGAAGGAGGGAGTTGGTTAGGCCTATAGAAGTAGAAAATGGCAAGGGATTAAAAGCAAAGCCCATCCCTGGCTAAAATTAGTCTTAATCTTTATGTTCAAATGTTTTCTTTTTTAATAGCTTAGAAAATGTTTCTTGGTTTTCATGTGAATTTTAGGACATTGGACAAGATCCCAATTCTTTTTCGTGACTTTGAGCTATAAAACCAAGACTCGCTGAGGTTATTGGTTCGGTTTGGTTTTGTTTTTTCATAGACCTCTGACCTGGAGCAGCTGGAGCCGTCCCTGGAAGATGTGGAAAGCATAAATGATTTTGAGCCCTTGTTTTCAGAGGAAACTCCTGGAGTGGAGAAGCCAGTTGCCGCCATCCAGGTTTGACTCCTGGTCTGAGCTTTTGTGTTGAAACAGTTAACATAAATGACCAGACTAGTTAAGGAAGATTTAAAAAAAAAAAAAAAAAAAAATCTGAGTTGTATTTTCTAGAAAAGGGGAAAAACCAATACTTAAAAACATCTGAAGTTGGAAGTTTTTTCCCCAGTGATTGGCTGCAAGATCTGAATCTTTAAGAAGCAATCTGCCTGGCAGAGACATTTGGGCAACTAATTAAGGACTTTAGGCCCAAAGACTGGCTTTTAGTGGTTGCATTTAAATTTAAGTGAATGTTATTGTGCTTAATTCTCAGTTGGGTCTATATTTCTGTCATTAATAATAAAGCCAGATAAACGGATATGAGTCTGAGACCCACTTGGGTCAATGTTCTCTGGGCCGGGGAGGGACCAGTGGTACAAAGGCAGCCCTGGGTGGAGGAGTTAGGTGTTCACTGCTCGGCCTCGTGCTTGCTGCTCTCCACAGAGCATCTTTCCCTGCAACTCGGGCCATTTCATGATGCAGATCTGCAGGTCTTTATAATTCTGAGGTTAAAAGAAGGCAGAGAATTGGATTACCAAATCAGGAGAGTTGGGGAAGGCTATTCTGACATGAACAAAGGAGAGGAGTGGTATTGGAATAAGGAATGCAGTTTGAGGAAACTGGCAACTGGTATGTTTGTCATTATGCCTAAAAATATCTTCTAAACCTTGGGTTTTTAAAGCCCGTGTTTAACTTGGCAGCATATCATCAGCTGTTTGTTGGAACAGAAAGAATTCGCGCTCCCGAAATCATCTTCCAGCCGTCTCTCATAGGAGAAGAGCAGGCTGGGATAGCAGAGACTCTTCAGTACCTTCTGGACAGGTGAGGCTGCGGGACTTCTCCTGATCTCCCTGACGCTCTGATTGGATTTCACGTTGATGGGAGATTTGGTGGCTGGGCGATTCGGATCTGTTCCCTCGTTCCTCTTTGGCGCGCTGGGCTCAGGTAGTGTTCTTCTCTCCACTCGAAGCCGACATGTAGTGGGGGCTCTGCCATTCTTTTCTGAACGTGCAAATACCCATTTGATTTGAGGCACTGTCAAAATTTCTTGTGTATTTGAGATAGACGATAATACACATGAATTGGCTGTTAATAAATTTTACATTGTTCAAGACTAGCAATTTTAAGTCACCCAAAACATACACAGAATTTGTAATTTTTTCCCTCTTTGGAACCATTTTATCTGTGTAAGGCCTTGCTTGTCTGTAACAGCGCTCCTTGCCCTCCTCTCCTTTTTACAGGCATGTTCCTACAGGGAGTGTTGAAAATTCACGTCGGACAAGTAGGGAGCGTGGTTTATAGTGTGCTGGCTGGATCGTTACAACCACTAGCACCTAGCAAGGAGGAAAAGCGATTTTAGCTATTTTTTCTGAGGGGCTCTGGGCTTTGAGCCACTTTCCAGTGGGTGGAAAGTGATCAAATATGGATAAGTTAAAGCTGCTTAAAAAACACACAGGGATGGGCCCACAGAAGGGAAGCAGGACTTTTTGGGGTAGCAACAATATTCTGTGTTGTGATTGTGGTGGTTACTGGGGATACAGAATTTTCAAACTTCATCAAATTTTATGTAAATGAATCCTCAATAACATTGGTTAAAAAAATGTATAAAAAAAGGTACAAAAATTCTAATCACATTACAGAAATGAGTTGAACATTCAAATTTAGGTTTTTGACTAGGTACTGGGAAACACTTGGTTAGCATTCTATAAAGACAAAAAGGAAAAACTGAAATATTTTTTTAAAAACTTTTGTGTAGATACAACCCCTCCTTGGGTTTCCGAGGCTCTGGTAGCATAGTGCATAAGGCACTTGACTGCTAACCAGAAGGCTGGCGGTTCAAACCCACCAGCCACTCCTTGGAAGGAAGGTTGGGCAATCCTACTTCCGTAGTGATACTGCCTCGGAAACCTAAGGAGGGGTCGCTATGAGTCGGGCTAACTCGACGGCAAACAACAACAACAACAATCTTTACAGAAGTAGATTGCCCTATCTTCCTTCTGGGAAGTGGCTGGTGGGTTTGAACCGCCAGCCTTCCAGTTAGCGGTCAAGTGCCTTAGGCACTACACCGCCACAGCCACAGCTCCTTTGCATCTACATTCCTTCTGTAATACTCAAGTTGGAAGGACTAGACCAGAGAAAACATTTCCCTCCAGGTATCCAAAGGACGTCCAGGAGATGCTGGTTCAGAATGTGTTCCTCACTGGCGGGAACGTGATGTATCCCGGGATGAAAGCCAGGATCGAGAAGGAGCTGTTGGAGATGAGGCCTTTCCAGTCTTCTTTCCAGGTACCGATTAGTCATGTAGCTGTTTTGAAAATAGCTTTCATTATTTGTGTTCTGATTATAAAAGTGATAGAAGTATAAATAAAAATAAAATGCAAATGAAAAAATTACTGTACAGTTTTGTCATCCAGAGACACCCACTGTTAACATTTTTATGACTTTGTCTCTGGTCTTTAGTCTATGTTCAATTTTTAAAGCAGAGCTGGAATCATGTTTTATATACGTCTTTCTTCCCTGTCTTTTCTTTCTTTCTTTTTTTTTTTATTGTGATTTGGGTGAAAATTTACAGAGCAAATTCACTTTCCATACAGCAGTTCACATACACTTTGTCTCATGACATTGACTATAATTTACCACAATGCAGCAGCTCCCCTCCCACTACCTCCCAATAATTACCTCTTCCCTGTGTCCATCCCTCCATGCACCCCTGCCCCCTGAGCTGCCTCCCTGTGCATAAACAGCCCTTCTTTCTCCCATGATTGTTCTCTCCAAGGAGTGTATCTACCTCAGGTACGTGTTCAACTCATATGTTTGTCTTTTGTTTGACTGGAAGCCACAAGTGTGGGTTCAATTCCTGTCTTTTTATATTTCTTACTAGACCTACCTTGGTAGGACAGGGACAATGATGAGAGTCTTTAAAAATTTTTTTTTTTATTGGGTGAAAGCTTATGGAGCAAGCTGATTTTCTGGTCAACAGTTTATACACATTCTGTTTCGTGACATTAGTTGCTGTTCGCTCAGTGTAATAGCACTCTTCCCGCTTCTTCCCTGGGTTCGACGAGGAGTGTCATGTGAATTGTTACATTCTAAGCCTTTGGCCCGGTGTCACTTACTTGGTCACTATGCAGGATATGTGAAGGCAGTATTAGAGGGAGAAGAGAGGAGGGGTTTGATATGACAGAGATTAAGGAAGTAAAATTGTCAGGGCTTGGTTATTGATCAGAAATCAGAAGAGAAGTGGGACATATGACTTAAACGTACAGGTTCTAAGTTGGACAACTAGTTGGACAAATACAACATTGACTGGGCTAGGAATAGGGGAGGAAGAGCGGGCTTGAGGGGAAAGGTGATGATTCCCATTTTCAGAGGGACTCCCATGGGAAGGGGTGGCCACAGGCAGCTGATGAGAGCTGAGGGAAAGGTAGCGGGTAGACCTGAATCCCTGGGCATAATGTGCCATTAGGCACTGTGTCGGAGCGTGGGTGAAGTGAGAGAATGAGCCCTGAGTAACACCGGCATTTAAAGGCAGTTGGAGGACGGAGAGGCCGGTGAAGAAGTCTGAGAAAGAGGCAGTGGACAGGGCCGAGGAGAACAGGAGGGAGCAGCGGCACCAAGGCCTGGGCGAAGTTATGTCGGACAAGCACAGTGCACGCTGGCAGGGCTGACTTGTGATACAACTATCAAGAGAAAAACTGATTTTCGAGATCTAGTTCTTGTTCCTAAAGCCTTTCCCACATGAATTGGGAAAGTTTCAGCTATAGAAACATGCCTGCCAGCTCAGTCTGGTAGCTTACGCTGTTTCACAGGGCGTAGTCCTAACTCCGCCTTCTACCTGTCCCACTCCCGTCCCGATTCGTAATGCAGTGAGTGCGTGTCGTGCCGTAATTAATCCCTGCTACTCTGATTTTAGGAGCTCTGGTAGCATAGTGGCTAAGTCACTTGCCTGCTAACCAGACAGCTGGCGGTTCAAACCCACCAGCCACTCCTCGGAAGGAAGGTTGGGCAATCCTACTTCCGTAGTGATACTGCCTCGGAAACCCAAGGAGGGGTCGCTATGAGTCGGGGCCGACTCGACGACACATAACAACAACAACAACAACTCTGATTTTAGATTATGTATTATGTACATTCATATTATGTATTAATATGCATACATAGTATGTATGTTTGAGCCACTGCTCAAACCATCTAAGGTCCTGTATCATCTTCAGAAGATGGAGAACCTCACATAGGGGATAGCTTTGTGGTTTTGATCCGTTTCTCCTTAATGACTAATGAAGAGCCCTGGTATGCAATCGTTGATCACTCAGCAGCTAACAGAAAGGTTGGCGGTTTGAACATACCGGCCATTCTGCAGGAAGAAAGACCTGGCAGTCAGCTCCCATAAAGATTACAATCTAGGAAACCCCATGGGGCAGCTTTCCTCTGTCTTGTAGGGTTCCCGTGAATTGGAATCAGCTCAATGGCACATAATGACAACAGTGGCTAATGACCATGGGCATCTTTTCATGTGCTTGTTGGCCATTTGTATTTTTTGTTTGGTGGAATGTCCAAGTTCCAGCATCCTTTTTTAAAATGGCTATTTAGTGTTCCATTGCTAAAGTGTATCTTACTGTACTTTTTAGTAGTAATAGTAATTACCGTTATTGAATACTCACCCTGTCTCAGGCCGTATACCAAGTTCTTTATGCTCATGTGCACTGATTCCTCCTGAGGCAGAGCTGTGGGGGCTTTGGTCTCCTCATTTTGTTGCTGGGAAATGATTCCCAGAGAGGCTGAGTCAAGTCCCTGTTCAGAAGTCACCTGCCTGTGTGGGCGCCCAGCAGTCTGAGCCCAGCATGTACTTGCGTCTCCTTCGTTCTTCTCCATCTGTACATGCTAATTCCGCATTGTGTCACCAGCCCTTTACCTTGGGACATTCTGAAGCCATGATTCCAACCTGGAACTGCTGTGGCTGGAGGAGAAAGGGTGTTGAGAGGAAGGAGGGAAATGAGACAGGTGACTCCCAAAACCCAAGAAGCCCAGTTTGAGCTACAGAGAAGGTTACCCCCAATGGGTAGGCGTATAGAGCTGATAGTCCCCAACATCCCTCAGGCAACAAGGAACAGAAAGTAAACTTTGGCAGCATCGTGAGGAACCCTCCAGGGCGTCCTCTCTGCCTGGGGCTCTTCTGAGGCTCTTATGCCACCGTGGCAAGAGCTGCCTTGCACCACCCTCTGCTTTCCTCTGCCTTCTCGTCCTGTTCCTGGCCTCTGCGCCCTCTGTGCACCTGACGCCTTGTGGTTGGCAGCAGTGTGGAGAGGAGACTGGGCAGCTGTCTGACCCAGGGTGGCAGGTCTTGTGTTCTTGCGGTAACTGACAGTTGTTTTTTCTGTGAGGCCTTTTCTGACGTGCTCCATGTTCTTGTGTGCTCTCTTGGAGAGCCTGGCATTTCAGCTCTGTTTTGCTTGGAGGTGCAGCAGTGCGGCACTGCCTGGGAATTCAGTGGGCCCCTCCTGTGTGTAGAGATCTGGGGGTAAGACGTAGGGGGTGTAGCTGGGCCTGCTGAACACACACAGCGTGAGCCTGGAGCCCTGGTGGGAGATGCCCTCTGGTGAATGTCCCCTTCATGTTGCAGGTTCAGCTTGCCTCTAACCCCGTGCTGGATGCCTGGTATGGTGCTCGTGACTGGGCTTTGGACCACCTAGACAACGAGGATGTCTGGGTCACCAGGAAAGAGTATGAAGAAAAGGGAGGGGAGTATCTGAAGGAGCACCGTGCGTCCAACATCTACGTCCCCATCCGCCTGCCAAAGCAGGCTTCACGGTTCTCGGACACCCAGGCATCTGGCAAAGGCCCGGGGGCCGGCGGAAGCAGTGCTGGCGAGCATGTGTAGAGGGCTCCTGCAGAGAGACCGCCCTGCACGTGATGTCCTTGGGCCATGCTGGCCAGTGTAGCACAACAGTGACTGTGCTAGCTGTCTGCAGCCAGAGTCTGGTGGTAACAGTGGGCTGTGAAATGGATTTCTCCTGGGGAGAACAGAGTTTAGGCCCACTGGGAGTTAAACGTTAGAACTGTGTTCATTGAAGGACCTCTGCAGTGAAGAAACTTCAGGTGGCCTCACGGTGTCTCAGCTGGGGCATCAGCTTTCCAGTGGCTTCCTACAGCAGTAAACAAAGTCAAGAAGGCAGAGACACACAGCTTATTTTGTGCTACATTTTGAAGCCTTTTTTGTTAAGATTTGTCTTGTCGGTGTGAATATTTCATTCTCCTAAATACGTTCAGAAATTGTGTGAATGCCCAGCAGGGGGAGGTCTTTCATTTTTATAAAAAGGTAATGTTTATATAATAAAAGCAATTACCCATGGAACCTCAAGCTGGAGATAGTTCCCTCCTGTCATTGTTTTTCTTACAAATAAAGAGAGAAGTCTTCAAGGGGTAACCGTCCTATGCAGAGTCACTCTGACGTTAGAGACTGCTTGGTGCCCACGTCTGAACAGGCAGAAATGGGGCTAGCAGCCCAACTTAAGCTCATACTTTCACTGGAAACTTTTCTACTGTATGAGGCCTTCCTGCAAATATTTTTGTCTCCTTGAGTTTGTTGGCTGCTTCATTTTTTTAGGCCTTTTTGAAGAAAGAGACTAGAAAAAAGTTAATTTTGCAGTCTTTTCAGTTTTGCCATAACCTTACATTCCCTGGACCCCCACAACTTCATCTCAAATAGGCAATAACCCCTCTCTTTTATAAAATGCTTGCTGAAACTTTCAACTCTCCAACACACCCAAGAACTGAATCCAGAAGGCCACTCAGTTGCTAAATTCATGCCACAGAATCCACACATGTAAATACTATAGAACCTCCAGCCCACCCCTCTGATGGGGCCACCACAGAACCTGGTTCCTCATATAATTTACCAAGAGCAGTCATCTGTATCTCCAGCTCTCAAGAACATAGAAACTGCAGATGAGAAAGAGGCAGTGGTGGTGGTGTAGGAGGTAGAAGATCCAAGTGAATACAAGACCTCCCCAGGCATTGACAGTGAACCATTGACCGACCATTCAGGGCCAGGCCCAGGGACCAGTGTGATGGTGTGATGGTTATGTTTGTGTGTCAACTTGGCTAGGCCTGGTTGAGTGGCTGGGCAGCTGGATGGAGTATTCCCCATGATGAGACTGGTAATCAACTGCAGGGTGGGATCTACTGGAGCAGCTGAGTAGCTGCCTTTGGGATGTGGTCTGCTTCCTGTATTTAAGAAGCAGCTTTGGGAATGGTCTCTAGCCTATGGCATTCTTGGTCCCTGCATGTAGCCGTGTCGTTGTTCAGCAGCCTGCCTTGGGATTTACAATGGACTTAAGCTAATGGCCTGCCGTATGGTCTGGTAACATCGGGACTGTGCCTTTTTACTTGTCAACCGTGGGGCTTCCAGCCTCAGCAGCCGGCAGCTGTTTGAGTGAAGAAATGCCTCTAGCTCCAATGGACTGGGAGCAGGAGGCAGAGCTGGACCCCAAGGTTGAGGGGCTTTCACCCAGCCCCTAGAGCCTGGCACTTGAACTTGGACTTAAAGCATCCAAATTGTAAGAATAAACTCCTATTTGTTAAGGCTATCCCATTTGTGGTATATATTCTTGTCAGAGTGACACTAGGTAACCAGAACAGATGGTGATAGGCCTGAGCTGCCAAGAAAGGGTAGATGTGAAGAAGGTGGGGCCAACCTTTACATGACACAGGTTTCCTTATCACACTTGTAGGAAGAGGAATGTTGCTAACTGCCATCAGAGGCCTGTGGTCTTTCTCCCAGGTAGCGGATTCAAACAGCCTGAACAGGGAGGGCAGTAGAGATGAGGTCCAAAGACTGTCATAGGGATCTGGCCCTCAACAGTCTGCCTGCAGCCTGACTAAGGGGGTGCAATGGGGAAGGACTCTGGGCTGGGCAGGTAAGATGGGACACAGCATGGCCAAACGAGTTTCAAGCTGGACCTACTCAGAGGAGATTTGGGGCTCTGGTGAGAGACATCCTGAGGGGCTGAGCCTTGAGTTCTCCGGTTTTACCTGTCACCCTCACATTAAGTATGCCATGCCCTTCAGTAACCACCTCTTCATGTGCAGTTCTCCTTTGGGAAACATGCTGACCTTCCTTCAGCACACTGGGGAGGGATTGGCTGCTCTGAGGGCTCCTCAGCACCTCATACAAACCACCAACAGACCACTCGCCACAATACCTGGGACTTTGTGCCCCAAGATGGTCTCTTCTAAACTGTGAAGTAATCCCCCAAGAGCAGGACATGTGTTTCATTGAGCTTGGAGTATTCCGAGCCCAGTGCTGCCTTTAGAGGGTGCTGAAGGCTCACAGGATTTTTAATGAATGACCAACTGGATGGATAAATGAATGACTAAATCTAAACAAAGGAAATTTGAGGTAGCCTACTCTGTTGAGAAGAACAAGGCAGACAGCCACACTGAGGACTCCCTCAGTCAGGGAGCCCCACTCATAGAGACATCTTGATGTGCCTCTGACCCTGCCGTGATCCTTGGAGAGAAGGTGGATCTGACTGTAGCCAGTGTTCTGAGATCAGCTGCCCAAGCCCAGGTGAGAGCTCTTACTTTTGAGGCTATGGAAGGAAAACATGACACAGAAGAGGAAGGATAGTCTGTCCTGGGTGTCTGGGTACCGCCAGCTCTAGGTCTGAGTCTGAAGGTTGAATGGCCACCTAGAATGATCAAGGATACCTCCTGTCTAAAGTGGTGGGGTCTGTCTCCCCTGCTGCCCATTTATGCTGCCCCTGCCTCCAGCTGGCATCTCTGGAAAGAAAGAAGTTCGTCAAAGGAAGGTGCAGAAAGGTAAGATAGTGGAAGAAGTTAAGAGCAATAAATGTTCAAATACTGGCAAAGAAACCTAAAACAAGAAGTTGATGCAAGTACAATAAGCGAAGTTCATTTAGTAGAGGCCCACATAATGGATTAAGTCAACAAATAAAGTCTATGATTGCAGGAATCTGATTCTAAATTGTTACAAGAAAATGATAAAACAGGAAGATTAAAAGTATACAGCTAAGAGACTGCTTGTTAACACTTTTTTTTTTTTTTTTACCTCCTGGACACATAGCTAGACTACCTTTCCAGCCTCCCTTGTAGTTATACATGTGGCCATTTGATTTCTGGCCAATGGAATATGAGCAGAGATGTACACCATTTCCTGTGAGAGCCTCTTTCCTCATTCACTGAGTGGAGAGAAGGCTAAGGCCCAAGAGGAGCATGGAGGCTACAGAGTAGGAGGAGCTGAGGCCCAGAGAACATTGGCTTATCTGTTACAGCAGCTAACATTACTCTAACTGAAATGGTAAGTTACAAACAAGAGCTTCATTTGAGAGCCCCTAATGTTTATCAGGGGGATTCGCTAGATAAGTAAAATAAAAATACTGTGAAATGAGAACACTAACAGAGTGCCATAGAGGCAAGGAGGCCACATCTTCTGACCTCCTCTAACCACACAAGAGGAATACAGAATCACCATCAGTAGCCCAAGGCCTATTCCTGCGAGGCCAGACGTGCTGCCTCTCTCCAGCCCTTTCACTAACCCTGACGCCAACCGTACCTCCCGCAGCACCCACCACCTTTCTGCTGGGTTCAATAATTCACTACAGTGGCCATACAGAACTCACAGATTATGGGGTTTATTAAGGAAGCAACAGGCTACAATTCATGTTCAGGAAAAAAACGCTCATTGTCTCTCAGCCTGCTGTTTCTCAGCCTGCTGTTTCTCTCAGTCTGTCTCCCAGCAATGCGTGTCCCTTGGTGACTCTCTCAGCCATGCATGTCTCTTGCGTCTCTTTCCCAGCAGTGTGTGTCTCAGGAGCGTGTGTCTCTCAGGAGTGCATTTCTTTCGGGAGCGTGTTTCTTCTCAGCCAGCAGTTAGAGAGAGCTGCCGCCTCTCTTCTGAGAAGGCTTCTGCCTTTTGAGCCTGGCAGAGTGGCCAAACTAACCAATCATAACATCAGAATTCTAAGCACCTGAGAGGCAGCTAACTTCCCAGAACATTACTTTGTGCTGCTCACAACAGAAATACCCCAGGTGGATAACGTTTACAATCAGGAACTCCTCAGTTGCTCACAGCAAATTCCACCATGGAGTTTATAAAGCCTTCTGGCTAGAAAAGCCATACCAGGTGATTTACTATACCGCACAGAGTCATTTCCTTATTTAGGAAATGGGAGTAATCTCATGTGTAGGAGGATTAAATGAGATAATGAATGCAGTTCCCTAAAGATTTCAGGAAATGTGGAAGACTAAGCTGACCAGAAGGACCCCTTTCCTGCTTCAAATGTAGAAAAGTTGGATAAAACCTAACAAAAATTGTAATGCTGAACTTGAAATAGAGGGAAAGTCAAGTATCAGATGCAAATACAAAAATCACAGCCAGAGTAGTTACCAAAGCTGACACTGAGCCATGTGGGTTTCATACAGAGAAATGAGTCCTAGGGGTGGATGGGAACAGGTTTTCATGCTCAAGCAGGGACCAGAGATGTGGCCCGCATCAAGTGAGGAAGCTGGAATAAGCTCCCTGAATAAATAATACTAAAGCAGTAAGGGTACCCTGGAAAAGCTTAGCAACAAAATGTGTAGCACCAAACATGCGAGAGAAGACGGCCAAATCAATTCAATAATAAGGAAAAGGGAGAGTGAGCAAAGTACTAGAAATGAGTTCAAATATATTAATTATCACAATATAAATAGAGTAAAGCTGACCTGTTGTTGTGTTGTTGTTATGTGCCGTCGAGTTGGACTCGACTCATAGCGACCCCTCCTTGGGTTTCCGAGGCGGTATCACTACGGAATTATATTGCCCAACCTTCCTTCTGAGGAGTGGCTGGTGGGTTTGAATCTCCAGCCTTCTGGTTA